TTGTAAGGCAGGCAGTGTTCAATTTTGCTATCCTACTGGGACTGACGTGGGGAGAAAAAGGATTCCCTGTAGTCCAGAAAGTATATACAGAAAATACTGTTGTGAGAATCCAAACAGAGAAATTTGGTGTTTTGTTTGTTGTGAGCATTTAGGAGGACACAAACATGCAACACGTATCAAGCATGCTCCAGCCTGTTCTCACTAGAAATACTTAACACTCCATCAGGAAACACTTAATGCTATAAAACAGGATGTTTCTGATCACCAAAAACGCTGGACAAGGATTAGAGTTTTACTCCTCAAACTTGTTTGCTGTCTCTGCACTCACACTTGGAAACTCATATCCTCACACATTCCCAAAGAAGTCAAAAAAGAGGCACTGAAAGAGCACAAGGATCTGTCAAAGAGGATCAGACTGTAAGACAAACCTTCATTTTGTGGCTATTTGCAGGATTCACATGGATAATGCAAACTCAGAATAGGAGTAGCGTGGGCTGATCTTGCTGAACTTCTGCCATTTTAAGGTAGAAATCTGAAGTGCTGAGCAGACCCAGCCTGGCCCTGCAGTGCTCACACTGCCTTTGCCTGCCCTCCAACCTGTTAAAACTGCAAAACAGCTACATCCTAAGCATCCAGAGGGCCAGAATTCATAATGGTCCCTGCTAGCACTGACTTATGAATCTATGAAAGTTTTGGCAACGTCAAGAATGTTATCAAAAGTAAGCTGTCTGAAAAAATAGGAATCACAGTAATTAAACAAGAAACCATCGATGTAAAATGTCTTACAAATGTAACATATTTGTAAACTTCTTCTGCATTTCCTAACGTGGGTCCTAGCAGTAGAATACTGAACTTGAGGCCGTGGTTGGAAATGTTATTTATGCTTGGCAAGTTTGTACACATGGAATGTTTTGTTTTGGAACACTCTGGTGAAGTGCACGGTGTAAGAAGGAAGGTTTTTCTTGATTTCCTCGCAGAAGCGAGGATACAGCGAAGGTTTCAGATCAGGTTCATTCTCTCCCACACCATCCATGATCTGCAATGAAATGGAACATGTGTCTTTAGCCAATTCACAGTTACAGGCAATGGCAGGAAGTGAAAAACCACCTTGACAATGCATTCAGAGGGTCAGGCTGGCCAGGTTTGTTAAGAGGATGAAACAAGTGGGGGGAAAAAAACAGCTTTAAAGCAGTAAGACTTACAGTATGGTTTGCCAGGGGTCCAGCCCTGCTTCGGCCTGTGCAGGCTGCTCTGCCCCACAGCAGTCCCAGAGAACTCCCCTGACACAGAGCAGTAACACAGCTCTGAAGTGATTTACCCTCTGGAAGGGAACACTCTTAGTGTACTGCTAACCTGAAGCTTGTCAGGAAGTGATTACTTCCTCTGCTCAGGCTAAATTCCTCCTTTTGCTCCTCTCAAATACCACTGAAAACAAGCAGTGTTCGATTTGGCCACACTGGGAATATCCACTAGGTTTTCCTTCCCACAGTGCAGATACCCTGAGCTCCCTCGAATCCCAGCTGTGTTTCAGACAGAAGTCAAGCCAGATGTAGTTTCTTTCCAGCCTTGTCCCTAGCACTCACGTGGCCGTTGGCTCTGTCGAGCAGGTCTCGCAGGCGGCAGCCTCGGCTGTGCCTCCTCTCGTAGCAGATGCTGTCCTCCAGGATCACATAGTCTGTGCCAAACGACCTCAGGATGCTGTGCACCTCCTCAGGAGCTCTCTTGGCATAGATCTGATAGATCTAGAGAAGAAGAAAACCAGCCCTAAGCCACATGGCATTACGATTTCTTTCCTTGCTCTTTCACAACTCTTTTCTCCTGAGCTGGAGAAAGAGCTGAGATTCAGAAACCATGTGACCTGAACTAAATATTATAAAAACAACATATAAATTGTTCAGTAGCCACTTGGAGGTTCTGTGTTACATGGCAATGTCCTGCTGCTGACCACACAACACTGGATGGTGCTGTCAGCCTGAGAGTGTCTGTGTTACAGGACAGCTGGAACAGCCTCCCCAGCATTGTGTGAGTCTCTTGGGGTGGGTTCTATGGAAAATGCTATTGCTGGGAACTGAAGGGAGTATCAGGCAGATCAGGGAATGCTCCATGTGGGTTTAACAGCCAACTGGGCACCAGGATCTACTGGTGCCAACAGTAAATCCTGGGCCTGTATCTGACAGTGAATTAGCTCCAGGAGTATAACAGGTGATGCCATTTGCAATGTGCTATTAGAGAGGACACTTATTTTCTGGAGTGGAGCCACTGATGTGGGCAAGAACTAGCGGAAACAATCCGAATGCTCTTACCTGTTTTGTTCTCTCTCTCAGATTCTTATCCTCGTAGTGGGGATGGTTCGTTAAGGTCCGTCCAGTGCACAGTTTGACTCCTGCTAGTAGCTGCATGCTCCCAGCAAACACTGCTGTGTTTGGAGTGTTTGACCTAAACAAATGGTGAGAAGTCTGAGGAGGTCTCTGTAGGGGCATTTTTGCAATGTTTGTGACAGATCAGAAGGAAAAAAAAGACAGCAAAAAATATTTTTCTGCCTCTCCTCTATTCAGGGAGCAAACTGTTGTTACTTAGCAGCCTCAGTCTCTCAGGATTGTTTAGATACTCATAATGAAAACCTGACTCTTGCTCACCTTCCCCCCAACAACTTTACAGTCTAAAATACATGTCAGGACACAAGAGAAGTGCAGAGCAGAAAGAAAAGGAAGAACACCAAGAAATACATTCCTGTAATCAGCCCAATTCCAACTGGCCATAGGTGCCCTGATGCTTTCTGGGGCTCAGTAGGCACATACCCATGGGAAGGTCTGTGAAGACCAAACCAACAGAAAGCAACACATTAAACTGAGTAAGATGAGACCAGAATGTGCACAGCTGCCCAACATCCCAGTGCCATGCACCTTGGGCACCTGCAGTGCTCCAGGGAGTGGGACACTTTGGGCTGCATCTCAGGGAGCCTCTGGGAACTGCAGCTCTGTGTCTGTCATTCCTAAGCTCCATGATCAGCTTGAAAATGTTGAGAGACAAGGATTAAATTTGACTTTCAGGAGATTATGCTTAGCAAATGACTTAATAACTACAAACCCTTCCTACAAATTCTTGCACTGGCACATTAATCTCATCTAGGAAGGCCAGAGATAGCAATTTTAATAGCCAGTTTAACTTCCCTGATAGACTAGTTCTTCAGCACTCTATAAAACCAGTTTCATTTTAAAGCCTGAAAATATTTAATCTCTTCATTTTTTTTCTTCAAATATTCAAAGCCACAAGTGTCATGAAGTAAATGTTTCATTAAAGGAAATTAATTCCTCTCAGAATTCAGCACTAGGACATGCAATGGCCCTGACAGGCTGTCAGCCAGGACTCATCCCAACCTGCAGGAGAGCTGAGTCTTTGGGCTGAGCTGCAGAGGACATGGGCTGGACTCAGAGGGACTTTAGCATCTTTCTGTTTATGCCTCGGCCAGGCAACTCCTAGTGTGATAAGTCAGTTTCTGTGTTTGTTCAAGATTAGTTCCAGTTTCAAAGCCTCTGCAGTGCTTATCTCCTGACATGGCCTTACCAAGGCAATCCTGTACCTCTGACTCCAATTTTGCAATTATAATGGGCTCTTTAGCAGACTCAGACTTTCCTAAACACACTGACCTTCCTCCCTCCCAGCAAGTACCCAAGGCAAAATCACAAGAAAACAAGCAAACAAAAAAACCCAACCAAACCAGCCTGCAGCCTCTTATCTTTAAAGGGAAGCTAAAGGAAGTGGTGATAGTGCCCCTTTTCCATAAATCCCTGGGAAAAATGTGTGTCAAAAATGTAGACTCATAGAATCTCCTGAGTTACAAGGGACCCACAGGGATCATCAAGTCCAACTCCTGCCCTGCACATAACATCCCCAACACTCCACCCTGTGCTGAGAGCACTGGCTGAACACTCCCTGAGCTCTGTCACCTTGGGGCTGTGACACTGCCCTGGGAGCTGTTCAGTGCCCAAACACCTCTGGGGGAACAACCTCCTCCAGCTATCCAGCCTAACCCTGCCCTGACACAACCTCATGCTTTTCTCTGGTCCTGTCCCAGAGAGCAGAGCTCAGAGCTGCCTCTGCACTGCCCCTGGGAAGGAGCTACAGACCCTGATGAGGTGTCCAGATGTTTGCCCAAGACAGATTTACATGACTGAAGTCCTAGAAAATGACACTCCTTCAGCCACATCACTGTCCATATTTTACTGGGGCCAGCTCAGATGTTCCCAGACCAACAGGTGCTGCTACTGGTGCTACTGGAGGCTCTTTCCCCGTGCCCTGCTGGCAGTGCCAGGAGCTCAAGCCTGGCACTGGATTCTGGTGCCTTGGGCAGACAGCTGGAAGGCAGGAGGTGACCCTGGGGAGGTGACACAGAGCCCAGGCAGTGTCTGCCCTGCCCAGTCCCATCCCAGGGGTGGCTGCCCCTGAGCATTCTCTCCCGGAGAGCTGTGGACACTGAGGCATATTTCCCAGGGCTGGGATGATTTCTGCATCCCATGAAGCTCTTTCCCCACGCCCCTGCCCGTGCCAGGCACTAAGCAGGGTGCTCTGTACCCAGGGCACCTCGTGTGCTGCAAACCACTGAATGACACTTCTCTATTACAGAAAAACGAAGCAATTTTTACAACTGTCTGTGCAAATGATGTATAAAATGAAAGGATAATTTGTTTTCATAGCTCCCTGCCCAGCTCCATACCACGCTGCCCAACCTGCCAACAATTTATTCTCTAGGAAATGTCACTAAATAATGACAAGGACTTACAGGTCAAACTGATTTACATCGTATAATTTAAATGCCATTCCAAGCAGACCTGATGGCATTTTGAACAAATAATCTCATTTATTTCTGAAGCTCTAAGCTTTCAACAAGTTAATTACAGCTGAACTAATGGGTAAACCAAGCACTATATTATATTGCAGGAAGCTTTTCTTTACCTTTCACTTAAGAATTTAGAGTATTACATTAATACTAAAGAATAACTCATTAAAAATACAAGGGTTTTGCAGGAAGCACCCTGAAAGTGGTGGTAATTCTTTCTCTTAAACTGCTAGAGAATCATTGTGAGCTGGTTTTAAGGAAGCACTAAGGAAGAAATGTCCAACACTGCAATTACAGGTTACATCATTAGAAACAAAAGGTTATTTCTATTACAAGTCCTCCAGAGCTGAACCTGCAGTTGTATCTCAGAGCCATAAAATCTGACTAGTCTCAGACTATTCCTTTCCTAGTGCCTGAGTGTGAGATGAACCTACAAAGCCAAAGGATTTGAGAGAAGGAGATTCTGAGGAATTCTCAAATATGCCACGATAAAGTTTTCTTTTTCTTTAAAAGAAAACCTTTTTATTTGCAGAATTCTCTATTAAACATCACAGGTTTAGCTGCAGATGATAGGCAGAAAAGCATATTCAGTCACACTGTCATGGCTCTTTTTTTCCCCTCTGGTTTGGAAAGACTGAAAATCGCAAAAATGGAAAACGATAGCCAGAAAGAGAGAGCAACAAGATGTGTTTTTCTTAGTCCCAGCCTCAACTTATGCATGCAGGTTTTGCTCACATAAAGGAGTGTACCTACACAGTTGTATAAACCTAGTTTTCAGGCAGTTCATGCCTGAATTTTACTCACAAATCAGTTAATGACAAGAATTTAAGAACAATAAGTTTAAAAAAAAAAGAAGAAAGTGTAATATTGCCTTTAAAGTCTGGAATATGTGTTAAATTCGGTGTGATTATCCTTGAAAATTAGGCATGTAAGCAATAGAGTTAGCATTTATAGTTGGCTTGGAATTACAATATAGCCATTAATATAAATGACTCTAGATTGCTAAATGAAAAAACCACCACTGAAACATGGGTGTTTATTTGCATAACCTTGGAGCTTTTTGGACACTTGTGGGGTTTCCAGTGTCAGACAAGTTTGCTGCTTGTGCCCCACAGCTGGTTCAAGTACAGCTGACACACAGCTATGCTCTGCAAATCTCAGCCTCAGGCCACTTTTCCACTGTTCTGGCTGTTGTCTGAGACTTCTAAGTTTTTCTGTAAGTTTTGGCAACTGCTTAGGAAATATTCCGTGATTCTAGACAGATTTCCCCTTTAAAGGCAGAAGACATTGCTTCTTGAACACTTACCAGAAGTGAATAGAGCAGGGAAGTTCACGCTATTGATTTGCTCATTCTACTGATATTTCTTCCCCATCTCACAAATGAGAATGTTGCTCCTGTTGTCTTAGGGAGAAAGACCAAAACTAAGAATTTCAATGTACCTCCCAGCTGGGAACAGAGCTGTGATCTATCCCTGTGGCATTGGCAGGACCTTCTTGACAATTGTTTTTCAAAAAAGCTAAGAAAATGCAGTGGTGGGGAGGGAAAAGCAGGAGACTGGGATGTGCAGGGTCACTGTGAAAAAACCGTGCTCTGCAGTTGTACAGGTATAAACCAGTGTATCTCCTGAAAATGCTATGGAAATTTTAGTAAGGGGAAGAGTAAGAAATACATCTGCAGACACATCACAGTGGACAGACCCTTATCCAGACTGTATATTGGGACAAGTTAATTTGCATTTAGAGCTAAGCAGACAGAAGGTTTTCTTGTTATGGAAAGATTGCAAGACAGATGAGTTACTCCTAATTCACTGCTGCACATGACACATTAGAGCTTTTCACACTGAGTTTAAATAGTGAGTGATTAGTTCCTGACACCAGCTTTGACAGGTCATTAACTACAGCACAACTATCAACTGTTAGTATAGCAAAAGATTTTTCTTACACATCAAAACTTAAGAAAATCTGTCCCACTTTGAGAAACTTACCATCAACTTTGTTGACTGGTATTTAAAGCACAGAAAATTAACTCTTCTTTACAGGAATAATATTTCTAAACACAGTAAATTCTAAGTAAAAAAATTTCCCTCTGTAATTGTCTGTCATGACTTAAACTGAAGAGATGTCAAGCACTAGTTTAGCATTCTCAGCACTAAGAACATATGAAAAACTATTCTCATTGGAGCCAGTCAAATCCAGCTCATGGCTGGGAATAACTCCACATGCATATTTCATGTGTAAATCTATATATAACTCTCTATATTGCACACAGGAGGCCTGAACTATCAGACATTCACCATCTTTTAATAAAACAGTAGTGCTAAATGGAACTGTCTGGTAAACATTAGTCACAAAAACGTGTCAATAAGGCTGCAAAGATTCTAAATGATGCAAAAAACCATGGGCTGCTTTCCAAACAAGTCAGCGAAGGCTGATGTGTTTTACTTCTAAATTACTCCCTCTAGGTTATGGATTAAAGAAATGCAGCACTATGGAGTGTAACTCTGCTGCTGTGGGTAGAACAGACTGGGTGACTGGTTCCACTGGAGTTCACTGTGTATGGAAACACAACACAGGGCTCCAAGGCAATACTTCAAACACTTCAGGGTTAAATGTTGCCTGTTCAGATTTACTTTCAGAATGTTTTCCTCCAGAACATGAAACTGATTTTCTTTTGAAAAATATTCTTTGCTAGAGTTCCAAATGAATACAAGTCCCAGGAATCTCCCTGAAAGCTTTTAGTGGTTTCTGGATGTTACTCCAGAGAACATCCTACCTGGCCTGTTTGCTTAGCATCTTCCAGCCAAAAACACCTTCCTATGCTCTGTGAGAAGTGATGAGGTGACAGACTTTGCACCTATGCTCAGCTGTTGCAAGTTCAGTTACAGTTCAGAACACATGTTGGGATTAACTCCAACAAGTATAAGCAGTTTAGATTGTTTTCAAGTTCAAACAGACTGCAGAGCACACATTTTCCAGCCCTACCTCTGTGCACCCAAGCTTTTTATGATTACAAAGTGGAGAAGGGCACCAGGCTGAGGGGAAACAAAATGCTTTCACTGCTAAGGTCTGTTGATGTGGAGGTAGCTATAATATGACGAAGGGAGCTCCAGACTCCAAACAGAGTGAGCTGGTTCCTGGAGCACAGGGCACACAGCAGCCTGAGAGAGCCAGAGCAGCCTGGGGGCTCTGCACAGAGCTCTCTCCACAGCTGCTAACATCCTAACCTCCTGATAACCCACTCATCCTCACTCTCCACGGGTCACTGGGGTGCACTGGTGAGCTGTGACAAATAAGGAGAACACTATAACTAAGAACATTAGATCTACACAAATAGCATTTAACTTATATAGAGAAAAAATCCTCTTACTTAATCCAGTTCATCAGCTCCACAGTGTCTGGGTCATAGAATTCTCTCAGCTCTGATAGTTCATCCATTATTCCTGGCCAGAACTACAATGGAAACAAAATAGAACAAACTGAAGACAGAATGAACAAAAGTTCTGGATGCTGAAACAGATTATTTCCTCTTAGCTGGGAACTGATCTTGTCCAATTCATGGATGAGCTGCAAGACACAGTGTATCTGCTCTTCCTGTGGAGGACAGGTGGCTGTCACTGCAGGGTGAACAGTCTCAGAGTTTAGCTCTGCAGCTCCTGCTAGATGAGCAGCAGGAACTGCTCACTGTAGTCAGCCTGAGAACAGCTTTTCTCAGCTGCACATCTCACCAGAGGTTTCCAGGACTCCAGCAGTTAAGATTGGTTTCTCTCTCAGAATCTGTGGATGACTAAAAGTTGTCACCAAATGTGACTGTTGTGCCTTGTACCTAACTTCACGAGTGAAACATTCCAGTTCTCTGGGCTGTAGGATGAATGTCAGTGTTTTAAGTTCTTTCTCTGCAGACCAAGCTTTAAGAAAGGAACAGGAGCAAGAGGCATCATGTAACAGTTCAATCCATAACAGCCAAGCCATTAAATACTGTCAGTGTTTGGTAGAGGAGGAAAGACCTCAGGAATTAACACTGAGTTTGGAAAGGCAGTTTAAAACTAAATAAAGGCAGGAAATCTGTATCTGAAGTAAAGATCATTAAATGTGCTGTGGATGCCACTAATGATATTTCAGAAGTTTGAATTAATAGAGCTACTGAAGGGAAAAAGAAAAGTGTGACTGAACAGCAACAACCAAGAGACTATCAGGGGGGACAATATTCCAAAATTCACTGCAGACAAAGAATACATAAATCAAATCTGGAGGAGAGAAAAAAGGATTGAAACCGATTCTGAAAAGCTTAACCATTCCCCCTCAAAAAAGCTAAGGGAACAAAGATTTATTGAGGGTTTCTTATTGTGTAAGCTCATGAATACTCAAGGACAAAAGGGAGCAATTAAGGGAGATAATGACAGATTGCTCTGCATCAGTCTTTACTACACAGGATGTTATGGTGAAACCTATTCCAAACTTGCTTCCTTTAGATAATAAGGATTGCTGGCTTGAAAACTGAAATGCTACAGGAAAAAGTATAAGAAACCCCACCTGACTGTCTAAAAAGCCATAAATCATCCAATTTACATAATACTCATACAAGAGTTCAGAAGGAATTTCAATGTGGAGCTGCTGAGCTACCTAGCAAAATTGTTCCACTGAACCTGGAAGTATGTGGGAGGACTGGGGAGCAGGAGATACAACTGTGCCAATTAAGACACTTAGGAGTTTAACTGTTCACTTAATACATTTGTTTAAGTAAGTGTTTGAGTGCTGGTAAATTGAGTAACATCTAAGAGATGCCTATGGTGGCACCACAACCCCACAGTTCTGGAAGTACAGCAGAGGTGTAATAGATGTATTCCTGCTCTCCACAAGCTCTCTCAAGAGACTGGTAAATGAGCAGTTGAGAAATGAGACTGTAGAGTTTGATCATGAATCAAAATTACCTCTCTGCATTACTGAACTACCCTGGATAGCTAAACATCCTGAGAGCTTGGAGTCCTCCAGGCTGGAGACAGAATGAAATGGGCTCTGTTTTTCTTCCAGATCCCCTGAACCTGCTCTGCAGCCTCCTGAGGATCTAAGACACTGAGTGCTGGGACTGGACTCATCCACGGAGGTTCTCCAAGTCACAGTGTCACACCGCTGCAATTTCTGAGTGAGAACAAGCTGTTGTCACTGGAGGAAAGTTTTGGGAGTGAGACTTGCTACTACTGAATTGAAAAAGAGAATGCTGAGGTAGAAAAACTCTCAGGTAGTGCTACATTTGATTAGGACAGCCAACAGAAAACTGAGGAACCTCAGGAGTTCCAAATACAACACAACAACAATGACAAAATTGATAAAAAGTAAAGCATACAAAAATATGGACCAATAGCACTGACACAACAACTTTGCCTTGTAGATGAAGTATATGTCAGATTGAGAAAAAGTGTACTGTGGTGTGAGGAATGGATGGAAAGAAGAGGGGGAGCACATCAGGGATGTAACAAACTGCTCAGAACAGAGGGGGGTATGAACAAGAGGCTTCCAACTCTGGGCTTGCAGTGCACTTTATGAACAGGCACTGCTCCTGATATACATAGTGAGGCTTCTATCATTTCTCTACAGACTGTCAGGCTTACAGGCTTTAGGTCTGAAGGGTAAATACACACAGCACACAGAGGGAGCTGCTCAGTACAGCCAAAGACAGCTCAGATCACAGGTGTAGGTTGCATTATGTGCTACAATAAATGTACAACTTTGGAGCAAAAGGACTTGGCCATGAGGAAGGTAAAAATGTGCTTGAAGAAATGATATGACTGCATAGTTTACTAGCAAAGAGAAAGCAAGATCATGTGGCAATCCCAGGGACTGGAATGCTGAAGCTCAGGAGCTAACTTTAAGTACCAACAATTTGTTTAGGAGTGACTGACACAAACACAAACTGATGAGTATCACTGTGAAGTTAAATACAATGAATGCAGAAACAGCTGAAATCTACCTATGAAGTGTATGAAGTGAAACATAAAAATACTTAGCACTGCATGATACACGTGCTGTGTTACCTGCAGCACAACTGAAGGATGCAGGGAAATATTTCAGCACTGTCACTTGATCTAAAAGGTGTTTGCACTACGTTAATGCAGAACATGTGTACACAGAAATGTCTCACAGGTCTCAAAACATGCTGCACCTGAAATCTGAGGGATAGCCAGTATTGTAGCTGTGTCTGTAGCAATAAATTATCATCCAAGTGAGGTATCTGGGACTGCAGCAACCACATGCCTCAAAAGAGGCTTCCATTAGCTTATTTGGGATTAGGTTAATAATCCCATAAAACTCCTATTTTGAGGAACAGCACTACAGAACAGTTCTTCTGACAAACACAGCCATAACAGGGAATCAAACACAAAGTTCCCCTACTGCTAATTCAAGAAAACTAGTCATGATGACCAGTTAGTCTTGTGGTGTACACGAAACTGCTCCTGCAATCCAAGCAGTCACAGCCTGGAAACAGCTAAATTCTCATCTGGACAGCAGAAAGACAATTAAGTCTCTGTTAGGAAAACTACTTGCACTGTGGGTTTGTTTGTAAGATTTTAGAGAGAATATACAAACATATTCTCACAGAAGCAATAGATACTGCCTGGATCTCTGTGGGAGTTTTTATTCTGACCATTGCAGGGAAGCTGGGAAAAGTTTTATCCACCTGTAAGTTCTCACAAACTCTTAGAGCTTTGCAGAAAAAAAGAACTGACTTAGGGCAAAAAAAAAAAACACTGAGAGGAGATAAAATTCTCATTCCCACTTTGAAAAATAGTATTTTAATGTCAATAAAAATATTTCCTCTCCTTAGAACACAAAAATTATGCTTTTCAGGCAGACTGAGCACAACTAGTGACTGACCTAAGGCCTATGAAATCAGTGATTTCTGTTGACTTCAGAACTGAACCTGACAGGATTTAGGGACTTCACACCTGCTCATGAAGAGTGGGAAGGAAATTATTCCTAGTTATCTGTCACATTAGCCTGTCAGTGTGTCCTGCTCTTGGTATCCCCATGGCAAAAGCAATGGCATTATTTTGTTTCTGGGACAGACAGAAGGTACCTGACCATGGAACAGTTCTGTTCAGATGAGGCACAGCAGTATAGAATGTTGTGGTTATTTCTGCTGCTACAGTGAATCATTGCACAGTTCAACAATCTGCATATTATCTGCTGCTTAGCTGAGACCACAACAGGCAACTCCCATTTCCATAAAATTCTGCCTTTCTGTAACACCTGCAGATTTCACACACAACCAGACAAACATTTGTGTCTACAAACAACTACTTTGCGTGAGATGAGCCCAACTGGTTCTTTATGTGCAGTGTCACATGCAGTAAGGTACTTGCACTTCAGGCAGACTGTGCCCATTTTCAAATTCAGTTACAGATAAAGCAACATCCTTTATGTGCAAAGGAAAATTCCATGCAACTTAAAAAAATGCCAAAACATTGAGAAAAAGATTTCTTACCTTATATGAAATGTACAGCAATGTCATTATTGGTATCGAATACTTAATCACCTGTGTCTAAGACAAACCACAAAAAAATTGCTTATTCTGATGACACTTTTGTTTGAATAGACTTCATTTTTAAAGTATTGATATCTGATTATTTATTGTGTAGCTGAATTTAGAGTTTGAATTGTAAGACCACTTTCTGATTTTGTTTGCAAGTAAAACCCTAATCACAGACCCATCACAAATGGTTTCTATCTACATATATAAATTTATATCCTACACAGCAGGAAACACTGTCATTCTGTGTAACTGACTGCAGAGGTCTGCTCAGCTGCTGATTTCTTCACACGGTGACTTTTTTAGTAAAATTTGGGCTATTTCTCCATCTCTATTGCCATCTAGTGTGTTCAAACGGGATTGTTTCACACAAAAACCACTGGAAAATAGACTTTACTCCCTAAATTTAGACCCAGTTTAAGAGAACTACAAACAACATTTAACTCTGAGCCCTGATTTGGTTTAGATATGGACAAACCCCATTGCTGAAATGCTGTAAGTCCAGTGCTAACCCTCTGGGATGTGTAGATGTGGAGACACTTCAGGATAAGCTTCCAAACTTCTGTACTGCACAGGCCAAAAGATGCAAACACACACATGTGGGATGTCCAGAGGTACTTCATTCTGCAAGAACACAAACAAGCTCTCCATGACCATCTAGAGCTCTGCTGAGCAGTTCGTGTCTGGGGCTTGGACTTTCAGGGCTCTGAAATAACTGAGCACAAGACTGACTTTACTATGTGCTCTTGAGAACATCTCTGTTCCCAAACTTCCAAGCAGGATTTTGAAAAATGCTTCAGTCTGCAAGCAGAAACACACCAGGGGGAGAGAGAAGGTTCATGATCCTATCAGTTTGTGGTCAGCATATTTTACATGCTTATAAAAATGTACTCTACCATCTAAACTAGCCCTTGGTAGAACATAAACACAGTACCTCATTGTGCTCAGTGCCAGACATCCAAACAGAACTGTGTGCACTAAGCTGTAAGCAGCATCAGGCTTCAGTGTTACTGTGCACTCTTCCATCTTTTCCATTGACTGGACTTGATTTGAGCCACTAATTAAAGACATAAACAGTGTTGTATTAAGTTCTATAACAGATTTCATATAGTTATCTGTATTTTAAAAAGCACTGAGTCCTTCTGATGCCAGAAAGCAACACTACTGCTACCAGCCCACAGTCTTCTGTTGCATTAGATAATTTAGCCTGATATCATCCACTAGATGCAGCATCAGGAATTTCTCTTCATGTCCAGGTTTCTGGAAATGCAATGGGTTTGAATGAGCTGCATAAGAAGGAGATAAAACTATGTACAGAAAGGCAAGCTTGGGTTCCTGCTTGAAGCAGCTACTCCCATGGGCTTCACAGGGCTTCTGATGAGAGTGAAAAATCTGTGTTTTCTGAGTTTGTGCTGGTATGTCTTGATGCTACTAAAAGGATAGACTGGAACTAAATTTAGAGAAAATGAAGCCTGAAAGGACTAGTTATAGCCAAGGTGGCTACTCTGGTGAATGTATGTGGAGGGCCCACCCAAAAAAAAAAAAAAGCAACTGGTTAAATGTGTAGGGTTTTCCCCTGTTTTTTTAGGGTGGGGATAAGTGAGATAACTGGAGAGTTAAAAATTAGGGTGGTGTTTGGGATTACACTTATGACTACAGAAAATAAGACATCCTGCAGCTTCCTCACACTGTGTGGAGAGCAATCCTGGTGCTGCTGTGTCCAGCTGAGGGAGAAACAACTGATAACCTGAACTCCCTGAAAATTGTACTTTACCTGAGGTTCCGAAAGGCAACAATTACAGCTGCTACTGCCAGGAGGAAGAGAACAAAGATGTAGATGTAAAAAAGTAATGTATCTGAGAGCCTTGAAAAAGTATTTAATGGCAGCAAACCAAAAGCTTCTTCACAAAGATACAGGTTAGCATCAAAATCTCTAAAGGAAAAACAAAAGAATAAACCTTGTCATCAGGTATTTCATAACTTGATGTCCAAAAGGATCAAAGTTTCCCTTTTTTCCCCCATGAAATTTTAAAGTCACAGTTGTGCAGATTATTATAAGGAAAAATATAACACAAACACAAGGTAAAAATCTGCGATTTATCACACCACTTGTAAGTGAGAACAACCTGCAGTCTGCAGTTAATGAACTCAAACAAACAAACAAAAAAAAAGGCAAAATTGCAGCTAAACCATACCTGGTTGCCCCAAATCCAAATTTTGCTTTCAGGAATTTGAATATATGTTCATCTGACTCAAGAGTAAGAATTTTCTACAAAGCAGGGAAAAAGAAAGGAAATGATAAGTATCAAAAATGTCACAGAGTAAACAGGATTTTTCATGCTTTAAATGGAACTCTGTGCAGCAGGAGCAGCTCTCACACACCATGCTATGACCTCTATTTCTGCAACAACTTTTCAATCTCAGCTGCATTCATTACAAAACCAGCACAGGGAAAAGCTTTGCAATGCTCAGCAGCATCAGAATGCACTATCCACCTCCCCTGCTGTGAAATTACAGGGGAACTTCAAGTTAATTCCAATACATGGTCTTAATTTATGAAGTTTCAAAATCCATGCATCAAAAAGATTAGCAAAATTATCTTTCATTTCTAAAATGAAACCTCTGAAATGCAGTGAAATCTCACTGCAATTTTATTTAACGTTACTATCGATGGTTAACAAAGAGCTTATAATGTAGTATGTTTTGTAACTTTCTAGATTAGAAATTATTTGCTTACCTTGATGAATTTATTTATGAGGAGAGTCAAACACAAAACTAACAGCACATGGAGGAGAAGTTTCCCAAGCCTGTTAAGCAAGCCACCCTTTTTTAAGTTTTTCTAGAAGGAAGAAAATATTAGCATTTCAGTACTTCTTGTGTTTATTTGGAACGAAAAGCATCACAGGTTATTTGAAACCTCTGATCTGCTAGCCCTGATCAGGATCAAACTTGTCCTAGGGTCATGTGAGCAAAAATGTATAGAGAACCAAGTATACAGATGTATTCCTTGCACAAAACTGAAGGGACAGCACGACAACAGCTCCTCAGGCTGCTGAGCTGGCAGAGGTTTGGAACAGCCAAAGAGCTTCCCCTGGCAGGGCCCTTTGCATCCACGGAGCTTACTCCCCTCACTTCACTCACATCCTGTGCCTTTTGAAACCCCTACTCATTGGGCCTTCCACCTAAACACAGCAAAGCTGTCTTCTGGTCTAACTGTCACCCGTGGGATTCGGAGTGGCTGTTCAGCTCAAAGCTCCAGAGCCAGAGGAACTGCTCATGGGCACCTGGAACAGGCACAGACATTGCCTGTCTCTGAAAAACACAGTCCTGATCACAGGTGGTGGGAAGGGACAGACAACAGGAGTGTCCCTGCAGTTCACATGTTCTGGCTAGAGGCTGTTCAATGCCAGCATCAGACAGGAGAGAACTGCAGACCCTGATCTCTGAAAGGACAGATTGCAGGACCTGAATTCCACACGTTCCCAGTTCTCCCTGAGTACATGCTGGAGGCAGATCCATAACTCCAAGCCAAGTAAAGTCCGTTGATGCAGTTTGTGCTGCAGGATCCAAACTGCAACTTGCACCACCATAAATGGGAACAGAAAACAGAATTATGGTGTCTGTGCTCGGCTATGCACCGATGGTTATGGTGCAATTGCACTCACTATTTGATCAGACAATATTTTTGTTGCTTTGCACTAATTCCTCTCCTTAGTAAGCGAAAATTATAATGCATATAAATTACTCATTTATCTTTATATGTGTATATATCACAGTCTTTATTTACTACTACAAAAACATTTTGGCACCTACCTGGATTGTTCTTGCTATCAAGACAGAAGCATTAAAACTTATAAGCAATGATCCAAGAATCATAGAGTTAAAGAACTGCAGGACACAGACCAGCAGCAATGCAGAAAGCTGAATGACATAGAGCCACGTAACCTGGAACAACAACGAGATTTGTATGTCTACAAAACTTTACAGTCAGAGCTGGTTTTCTTTGGATATGTTTTATAATTTATTTTAACATCTGTTAGTTAAAGAAGAAAACAAGTATCATCTTGCACTAAATAATTACATTTAAAGCAATTACTATATCCCTTTAGTATTGATGTCCTGAACTAGTTAGGCTAAGTTTTATGCCCATTTTATACCTCAGGAAGGTAATCCTGTAATAAAGCAGAGAAGTTAAATAATTTCAGGGTAAGGAAATTATTAATTACTTAACATACTTTAGAAAATGTTTTGCATTTTCTTTAGTCAAAGAAGTGTTTCTGCAGCCTCTCTGGTGTCTCTGTGATGAAAGAGATAGGGCACAGTGAAGTTCAGCTATCAAATCTCATCTGACTTCTCTAATTTTTTACAGATAGTTCAATACATCCTCTTTGAGCTACGCTGAACTATTACCAATGTTCGGCTGATTTTCTGATACCAAATGCACCAAAACACACATTTCACCTGGCACGAAGATCAGACTTGTATGAAAACAGTGGCATGAGTCAGTACCAAACAGCCCAACAAACTCCAGGAGCTTTCAGTGGCAGATGTTGGGGATTCATAGGAATCCCAGTGGGGTGGTGAGTCTGTTCCAAGCAGTTCAGGGTGAAGCTGGTCATGTGCCAACTTTAGGGTAGCTGATTACTCACCCTAACTGCTTCCTTCAGCTCACATTTGTCGATACAGCAAAGAATTTGGGAGCTTAAATAAACCACGTTTACTTGCTGCATAGCCACAGTACTAGTTTTCATTCTAATTAATGCACTCAGTAAAGTCCAAGTCTGCTTCAAATTTAAAGTGAACTGACATGAATTACTCTTCATGCTACCCTAACCTTTGTGAAAGTTAGAACCTTTTTCAACCAGCGAAAGCTTTTATGAGGGTTAATCACCTTGGAAGAATTTCACAGCGAATGTTAATGTTTTCGTCTTCCACGGTGCATTTCTGTTTTCTAAGACTGACTGTAAGTGATCCCTAATCTTCTTAGTAATGCCTGTTTTACTTTTTGACTTCTCCAGTTCAGCAACACAGCAGTGACAGTGCTGTGATTTTGTGGTGCATTTCAGTGTAGGCAAGAAAACTGCTTCTCCTGAGCATCCTGTGTGTCTGCTCCATCCCCTCTGCGGCCCTTGCAAACAGGGGTGCACAGTACTTGAGGCAAAATCCCTACACTGTTATGACTTCAGCTTAGACAAAGATTTCTTGGGGTATTTTTTTTTTGTCCTGCCAACTTCAAGAGGCTCTGCTTCAGCTCTGGTATTAGGTCAGCTGTTATGATGGTCTTTAAACGTGTCAAATAGTGTCTAAACAGAAGTAGACAAAAATTACAGAAAGTGAAACAATCAGCTTAAAAAAACACCAGAACTGGTGTTGTTTTGATTATCCATTTTCACACTTGCAGTGTATACACTGTGAGTACTTAAAAGCACAAAGCACAGTGTACAATCTGTATCACTCTGGGCATCCAGGCCACTGTTAGTAAATACCTCCCAGTCACCTTCCTGAGGGTAGAGAAAAAAACCTCCTGGTTATTCCAAACCTGAAGTTACCTTTGCTGTGGGCAGCAGGTCAAAGCAGTCCAGTATGAACAGTGCCAGTGCCTGTATCAGCATCATAAACTGGTTAAACTGCCACGTCAGGCTGAAGAGAAACGTTGCTAGGAATACAGCCAAAAGGGTCAGTCTCTGGAACGAGGGAACAAAGTGTTATTTAACTTCAGTTTCCTTCATTAAAACACAACCAATCCAGCAAAAATAAACCCCAACAAACCCAACCAAACCCCATCTTCATTTGGTTAATTTGGAATATACTTTTAAAACATTAAGTAGAGTTTTCTAACTGCAACAACTGCTCGGAGGATAATGAACATCTTAGTTAAGAACTCTTGATTTGTGCCTGTCTTTTATCACTGTAGTACCACTTGCAAGAAAACAGTGAGATCTCACATAGTTCCAGCCCTAGATGAACATGCAGTATGTGATTTACTGTGCTGTAAATAGCAGTTACTTGGTCAAATTGAGGAGTAATTAGGAACTGTTTGTCAAAGAAACTGTATCACCCATCTGCTTTTATCCTTGAAGACCAGGAGAGTTTTCTGATGCTAATTTTACTGTGCCACACTTGTCAGAAATACTCACTTCTTGAACAGGCTGCAGATGAGTCCTGAGCAGGTATGTGATAGCTGCTACCTGAACAGCAAAGAATGGCAGTGCCCAGTTTTCTCTCAAGGGAATGGTGAACTCCACCCTTGTGGTATCTACTCTGTACAAAACAAAGAGTCCCAAATGTAAACCAGAGCAAACAGCAGCTTGGTGACAGAGCTTGCAGTCATAGACATCTCTGTGGTATTTGAACCACTCAGTTTTACAAGTGGAGGCTCTACACGAGCTCCAGCAGCACACCTGGCCCTGAAACAGCCATTGTGAAGGTTCTGCAGGTTATCCATTGTTTCTGTGGCTCAAATGTTGTACTTTAACTTCACTTACTGTCAAAAAGATAGACCATGGACTAAATCTTACTCATGATGCACAGTTTGGGTCATTTAAAAGTGAAAAAAACCACTCCCAAAATCCAACACACCACAGGTAATTTTACTTCATTTTTTGGTTTCCAAATGTCCATATAAAACAGGTATCAGTTTCTTCACTATGACTCCAATGCACTGAATTTGAACACAGCTAAACTGGTTATGAGCTTCTGGTCATGTTCTGAAGCAAGTGATGGAAGTTAGTAAAAGTTCCCCAAAGGGCACTCATTTACCAAACCTGAATTAAAAGTTGAAAACAAGATATAATTCCCTAATAAGTAAGTGTTGCTTACTTTCCTTCCTAGCAAATATATTCTCTACACATCTGAGAAATGCTGAATGAAAGAAGGGTCTAAGTGCAGTTACTCAGCAGCCTCACATGTACTTCATCTGGAGGGAAAGGCTTTATCCAAACCAGTTTCATGTACTCTGTTTGTGTAAAGGATAACAAGCTCTCACTGGTCAGGAACTCTTAGAGAGATGCACACAACAAATTTGCTCCAATACTCTGTAAAAGGAAAAGATGACCTCAATACTGTGCACTGCACGTGTTTCCTAACTGCTTTCATATTTGGAGAAGAGTTCTGCCACTCCTGTTTTCATCTCCAAATTGAGCATTCTTCAAGTGATAGTGCACTGGAACAGCTCCATTACCATTTTTTTTCTCTGAGGCTTAGTGCAGGAGAGGTCTACAGGAATAAGGGCCAAGCTGAACTGCTGAGCTGGGGCTGTTGAAGGAATCCCTGGAGGTTGGGTGTGGGGCAGTGAGGGCAGGGCACACGTGCACATCTCTTTAGCACCTAAGAGATCCTAGGCTGGAGAAGACAGGGTACATCACCTGGAGGTGCAGACACATCTGAGAGACATAGTCCACTTTCAGAGACCAGTGTAAACCAAAATTTTCTATTCAAACTTCATGAAGCTTTCAAAACCCAGTCTGAAATGTCAGCTCATTTCTGATTGTTTTCTAATTCTTTTGTGTCATTTAAAGTTCTTGTCCCATTTTCTGGCTAATCAGAGAGGTGTCATTGCCTCATTTTCTCTCCAACTAATCACACAGTTAAAGGTTCCATGCCTTACCTTTGCAATGAGGTACAATTTTAGGAAGACTGAAGTTTACTCTCACTTACCTGTTTGTAATATACCAGCAAGCTGCCAGCAACCCTGAGAGCCATGTCCCACTAAGCAGCCAGCTCGTTACATACAGAGCAATGACATACACTGCCTGAAGTCCAAACAAAGTGTAGATATAAAAATAAACAGGCTCTAGGTATTGCTGTAAAACACAAGAATACTGATGTTGACATTAAAACACTCGTGGGGGGGTGATACTTAGCATGAATTAGGTTTTGCTTTAACAGATTAAAAAGGTGTCAGGAATATTTCTCATTGGCAAATAACTACAAAGGGAGCTATGAGTCACTGTGCAATCTTCATAACGCACTTACGGTCTAAAGCCAGAAATAAATGCCTACCTGAATTGGAAGAATCCTATACAGAATGCTGAGAAACACCTCCTGGTAAACATTCATTCTCTCAAGTATGTTAATTGTCCTCACAGATTCAGTTTTATTGTCATATACTAAACCATGTAAACCTTAATGATAAAGAGAAATTGAAATAGGAGATTGTCATTTTTCCCCCTCCATCTTCATTCGAACAGTGAATAACTTTCAAAGGTATTTTAGGATCTCTCATCAGAAACTGCAAACTTTGAGTCAACGATTCAGAACACATTACCTCTGAATCAACATGACCTTCTGAGGTCTTCAGCTTCCCTGCTTCAACTGTGACTCAGAGTGCTAATTCAAGTACTATATATTTAGTAGTGCATAAAACATTTATTTTTATACTTCCATCCCTAGCATGGAATCTGTGCTACATCCTGCACCCTAAGAACTGGCCTTGGCACTACTTTGATCACAGGTGAGGTTAATACTGACAAATGTGTAGCATAAGCCAAATTGCTAGGGAGCAATAGTTAAGTATCTAGAAAACATGGGACTGTCACAGAAAGTCCCATCACTGTATGTGATTTCCTTGGAAGCTGCTCATTCTGTCACTAACTGTCCAGGCACACAGCAAAAAAAAAAAAAAAAAAGCCCCTTCCCACAAAATGCTCACAGTGCAAATTAAACAAGAGAAGAATAAAAATGCAAGTAATATACTGCATAAACCAGCAAGGCTGAAAACATTAAGTTGTCCCTCAAGTGGTTGCCTTCCTCAGGGTGTGAAGATGTGGCACAGAAACCAAGGGATCCTTATCAAAGTGGTTATTTCTAACAGTGGCTCCCTGGCACAGGAACAGAATAGATCTGTCTCCAGTAAAATGTTACCCTATCTTTCTGATATAGTATTCCTTATTCTCAATTCTATTTGAAAAAAACCACACCCCAAATCTAAAACCAGCAGCTGGAAACATGAAGCAAAACTTACTGTACAGTTCACAATACCTTGCTGTATGGAGGCAGCCTGAATCATCTCCTTGTAGTAGGAGTAATAAAGTCCACATTCAGTTCTGAAGGAAATTTCTCTTTCCACTTCCTGCAAGTGAACGTTTGATAGTGAATTCCCTTTCCATTGGCTTTCACAATCACACCAAGCTGCCTTCAACTCAAATTCTTGCTGCACCAGGGAAATGGACCTTGAGGTTTGGGATTTGGGTGTTCTATGCAACTTAGTTCAACTAAAGGTAAAACACATGGAGAGTGCTCAGGCACTGGAATGTGCTGCCCAGGGAGGTGGTGGATTCCCCATCCCTGGAGGTTTTCAAGCTGAGACTGGATGTGGCACTTAGTGCCAGGGACCAGTGACCACGGGAGGGTTGGACTTATGATCCTGGAGGTCTTTTCCAACCTGGTTGATTCTATGATTAGGGTGAGAGACAAATGGCTGAGGTGTAAATGACTCTGGCAACTGGGGAAATGCATATGCCTTTTGTGATTCTGATATGCTGCTGTAAAGACTTTGGATATTTTACTACTTTTCTGCAACATTAAGTGTTTAGCTAGGCACAGTGGCCAACAGTTGGGTTTAAAGCTGCTTATGCTTGCTCCATGCACTGAACCTTTTCTTCCAGATCAGTTATCCCTCAGTGTTCCATGGCTTTGCCAGCTTGTGGCTCAATTAATTCAGTGTGCTATACTGGGACTATAATGCCAGGAATATTTTGGCTGGCAGGGAATGGAGCTGCCCACTGGTCAGTGCTGGTTCCAGCAGGAAGGCAGTGGTCACCTCTCTCATTCTTAGCTTATGGGTTACAGGAGAAGTGACTGCTTGGCTTTAGTCTAGGAGAACCTGTGATTTTGCATTTAAAAACTGTTTACACTAGGTGCACTTCAGACTAGGCCTCTTTGCTGGCTGACAGGGCAGCAGATGAAGTCCAGGGAGATATCAAAGCTCTTTGCTTTGGAATTCGCTTCCTTTTGTTAGCTCATTAGTTGTGAAGACCTAATGAAATTTAACAAATCCACAGCCTTGGGCAAACACATTTACACAAAGTAAGGCTGCATGAACAGCCAAGCTGAAGAGAAGTAATAGGCTTCTTACACAAAACTGTTCTATTATTAGTAATCTCTTTAGTAGTTGATATAAAAACATCCCAGCAAATACATCTCATAAGCAGTAAGAGGTTAATATCTGGTTAGAAGAGGTTTATACTGAGATCTGAAAACCCAGTGAGTTCCTGTATGTGCTGTATGCAAGTCATTAAGAAATTTGCATGAGATTTCTAAAAATAATCTTATTAATTCATCTTTCTATACAAAAGAACATCACTAATTAACAGAATGTTACCGGTTTTGGAGAAGTTTTGAATGCCATTTTGCTTAATGCAACACTGCAAAGAACCCCAAGACTCATCTCTCTTATACAGTCCCATCTCTTCTGATGGGACAGAATCAATACTATTTCAGAGCTAACATAAAGCTAGATGAAAAATCCTGTTCCTCTCTCCTTACTGCCCAGTACAGACTCTTATCTCAAAACATGTGTTTTATTGAAGTCAACTGTTGACAAACCAATATTAGTTCTGGTCTGAGAAAACTCAACAGATAAAACCACAGCTGATTCAATCTAAGCTCACAATTAAACTCTGCAGCTGCTCTGCAGCACACAAATCATTATCTTACCAACAGAAGGAACTGACATTGGCACTAAATACTAAAAGCCACACTAAGCAAAATGAGTGTTGGATTTTGAACAGGCTTTAGTTTCGAATTCATCAGCACTGAAAAGTTTCCTAACACCAAAAAGTGGCTGACTGTAAGTGCTCATAAAAATAAAAAAGGAATGTTAACATTTGGAATTTATTAAGGGGGAGAGAGGAGTCACAGAGGGGGATCTAATTAGCAAAAATGCATTCAAACATGATTAATTTGTAATCCTGGCACCAGCTGCATTCAGCCAAATGCTGTACTTTATGAGACAAACACGAGTGAGTTTTACATCTGTTTCATGCTAAGATAACATCTGTTTTATTCACTCGCAATACTTTTCCAGTTCTATAGCAATTTATACTTTTCCTACTACTCCATGTCAATGAAAACATACAGACTTGTGGGTAAGCATTGTAAGAGCACATGCCTGTCTGTCTTTATGTTCAGTTTGTGAGTTTTAGCCAGAGAAGTTATCCCTGTCCCAAGGGAAAAACAGAACTGTCCTCCAGGATACACAGAGTTGCACATTATTTCAATTTATGCAATTGTATCCTAATAATATTAAGCATTCACAACAAAAGACAAAGGACTTTCTCCTAAGGGCAGTGCAAAATTCTAGAGTTTAGGCTTCTTCAGGCTCTTTAAGCAAGTGATTCAGAATGCTGAGTGAGCAGCCACATGAGTGAGTTTTTCTATAAATAAAGAGTGTAAGTAAAGCTCCAATTACTCTTCTTTTTTTGGACATAGCTAAAACAAAATTTGTGCAATTGAAACTATTCAATTTAAGATCAGGAAGGTTTGGAAATGTCTAAATTCTACAGGTGGCAACTCAACACCCAGAGCTGCTGTGGTGGAGAACCAGGTCCGTGGCAAACACACTTAATCCTTGGACATGTTCTCCTGGCTGGTTAACCCAGGCCCATCTGTCAGGATGGCACAGTTCCCACTCAGACCAGACTTGTGATCCAGAGTAGAAGTACCCACAACAACTCATCAGGGACTTCTGTGGAAAAGTACGACCAAAGCTCTGGGCTGGAGACCTCCTCGTCGTGCCGTAAGCACTGACTTTGTGCTGCCCATTTCCCACCTTTTCTCACAGCATCACAGAATGGTTTGGGCTGCAAGGGACCTTGAAGGGCATCTGGTTGTGACTTCCTGCCCTGGGCAGGGACACCTCCCTCTAGACCAAACCCCATCCAACCTGCCCCTGAGCACTGCCGGGGATGGAGCAGCCACAGCTGCTCTGGACAACCACCTTTGCTTTGTATTCAGAATGTAAAAAGGGGAAACATAAGCACATCAGAGACTAAATCCCAGGATTCTCATCCTGCATGTCTGAGAGATTTACATTTTTATGTTTTTATTCCTGACTTCTTGCAAGCAGCCACTTTATTATGGGAAAATTCAATAGCAGTAGTCTTAAGTGCTTACCCAGGAGGGGTGAGTGCTCTGAAATGTACCTGTCAGTGCTACAGGATTCATTTGTTCTTTGGCTTTGGCTCATTCCTGTTCAAAGTTTTGACACAGTTTGCATTTGAACAAATAATGCCACAGCTGATGATGGCAGAGGTGGCCCAAATTTTGCTACTTTCATAGCAGATTCTGTTCCCAAGAGAGACTATAGTGGAGGAGCAGTCACTAAACTGCTGCTGAAAACAACTGAAAACAGACTTAGCCTTTTTCTATGTTTTATGCCAGAACATTTTCAGAAAACTGAGACAGGATTTTTGGATAAGAAAGCTGTTCTGACTTTCACCATGGCAAACAGAAATCTTTGTTGGTTTCATGTATAGGAGAAGGGATGCAAACTTTTCAAAACTGGTCAGGGTAAGCGATGGTAACCTCCTGTGAGCACTGCTGAAGGGCACACAAACAGCTGCTCTGTGACTCTCTCCAGGAGGCTTGACATAAAATACTGAAAGAAAAAGCAATGTGTACCTCCCTCATAGCATAAACCGC